AATAATAATAATAATAATGATAATAATAAACAGCGCGATTACAATAGGGTCCTACGGACGACTTCGTTGTCTCTCGGGCCCTAATAAACAGCGCGATTACAATAGGGTCCTACGGACGACTTCGTCGTCGCTCGGGACCTAATAATAATAATAATAATAAACAGCACGATTACAATAGGGTCCTACGGACGACTTTGTCGTCACTCGGGCCCTAATAATAAAAAATCCTTGCATTTCAATAGGGTGCTCGCACTGCTAGGTGCTCGGGCCCTAATAAATCATAATAAACAGCGCGATTACAATAGGGTCCTCAAGGACGACTTCCTCGTCGCTCGGGCCCTAATAATAATTAACAGCGCAATTACAATAGGGTCCTCACGGATGACTTTGTCGTTGCTTGGACCCTAATTAAAGCTGCAAGCATCAATGAATGGGCCCTCACACCTTCACGCAACTCAGGGGGGCTGGCAGGACGCCTCAATTCATTTCTGTCAAAGTTACACATTGCATGCAGTAGTGACTTTGCACATCCTTGATACAGTGCTGGAATAACATATCTCACATTTTGTATCACTTCCTCTTTTCACTAGAAGGAGTTAGAGAGTGCACTAATTGTACATCATGTTTTTATACATCAAATATACACCACAGCATTTAACTTTCAGATAAATTGAAAGGTAAGTGTTTGATGAGACCTACTTTCTGTTGCCACTAGGTGCCACTATGAGTATCAGGAAATATGGTTATATAAATGTGTTCAGGGCAGGACTAATATGAATCATCTGAAGTTTCATGGAGATCGGACCATTTACTCCAAATTTATAGCAATTTCCTGTTTCATGGCAAGATATCAAAATTAAACCCTCTGCAGCATGTGTAGACACTAATGATATGTCATGTTTGTGTACATCAAATATACACCACATCATTGATATTTCAGGTTAATCCAAAGATAAGTATCTGATAAGAAGCACTTCCTTTCCACACTAGGTGGCGCAATGATTAGCAGGAAAAATGGTTGGGAAAATGTGTTCAGGGTGGGACTAAAATGAATCATGTGAA